AGGATTCATGGTATTCAATAATTCAAACCTCAATTGAATATAATCAAATCATAGAATCTGTACTTGTGTTCATACAATCAGACCTAACATACAAATCTAGGGTTCTCCATACCCAGATGAATGAAGAAGTTACTCCATGGAGAGAGAAGCAAAAGCAAGCTCAGATTCAGAAATCATGCTGTGAAGGATGGTTTTCTGCTCCTGGTTGTCAATCGGCACTTCTCCAAGTGTGAGCCGAGCTCCATTGGTGATGAAGATCAAGCTAGGGCACTTGGGAACTCTGGTTTGTCGCTTTCTCTCTCTAGGAATTGCTCTGTCTCTCTAAAACTCGGAACCCTTTCTCCTTTGGCTCAAATCTGCCTAAAAAGGGAGACCCTGGGCAAAACACAGTCGTGCCTTTAGTTGGACATGGCCGTATTTTTTGTCACTCCTGCCCGTGTTTTGGGCCAGCATAGGAGCATCTCGGATTGTGATCATGTTCAACAAAAAGGAAAAAGAAGAGGATGAAACTCAGTCAAGATACAAAACTCATGGTAGAGGCCTTGGGAAATGATGAAGGGAACAACATAGGATTCCGCCGACAGTATTTTGAGATGGGCTGGAAAATGCTAGGCAAAGGCGATGAATTGTAAAAAAAAGTCATAGACGAAAACCTAGCGAACAACAACAAAACACTAAAGAGTATGAAACTCGATCCAGATACAAAACTCATGGTACCGGCTTTGGGAAACGATGATGGGAACAACTTAGAATTCAGCCGACAGTATTTTGAGATGGTCTGCAAAATGGTGGGCAAAGGCGATGATTTGTGTTCAAATTAGGATACCCATTTGTTTGGGTTCAATTGTGATCATGCTCAACAAAAATGAAAAAAAGAAAGAAAAAAAATACTAAAGAGGATGAAACTTGGTCCTGATACAAAACTGGAGGTAGCGGACTGGGGAAACGGTTGTGGGGAACAACTTAGGATTCAACCAACAGTATTTCGAGATGAGCAGCTAAATAGTGGGCAAAGGCGATGATTTGAAGCCATAAACGAAAATCTAGCGAACAATAACTAAACACAAATGCGATGATTTGTACAAAAAGTCATAGACGAAAACCTAACGAACAAAAACAATACACAACGGCGATAATTTGTGCAAAAAGTCAGACGAAAACCTAGCGAACAATAACTACACACAAAGGTTGTAGAATGGAGAGTGAGGTAAAAGAAGGAATTGAAACTTCTCCACTTGTACTTGGAGGAGTGTGAGAGCCACTAATGAATAGTAACTCACAACATAGGCTTTTATATATTAATTAATAATATATCAATGATGATTTGTACAAAAAGCCATAGACAAAAACCTAACGAACAAAAACAAAACACAACGGCAATAATTTGTGCAAAAAGTCATAGACGAAAACCTAGCGAATAATAACTAAACACAAAGGTTGTAGAATAGAGAGTGGGGTAAAAGAAGGATTTGGAACTTTCCCACTTGCACTTGAAGGAGTGTGAGAGCCACTAATGAATAGTAACTCACAACCTAGGCTTTTATATATTAATTAATATATTAATGATGATTTGTACAAAAAGTCATAGACGAAAACTTAACGAACAAACAAAACACAAACGACAATAATTTGTGCAAAAAGTCATAGACAAAAACCTAGCGAATAATAACTAAACACAAAGGTTGTAGAATGGAGAGTGGGGTAAAAGAATGAATTGGAACTTCCCCACTTGCACTAGGAGGAGTGTGAGAGCCACTAATGAATAGTAACTCACAACCTAGTCTTTTATATATTAATTAATTAATGTGCAAAAAGTCATAGACGAAAACCTAGCGAATAATAACTAAACACAAAGGTTGCAGAATGGAGAGTGGGGTAAAAGAAGGAATTGGAACTTCCCCACTTGCATTTGGAGGAGTGTGAGAGCCACTAATAATAGTAACTCACAACCTAAGCTTTTATATATTAATCTATATATTGTTTGGATGTATCGGTTACAACTTAAAGGTTATATGAAAAATGAAAGTCACAACCATGGTGAGCAAGCAACTTTTGGTTGGTGCTTTTAGAAAAGTATTTTTTTTAAATCAGAGTGTTTGACTGTAAAACTAAAAAAGGTACTTTTTAATATAAGAGGTTATGTAAAAGTACTAGAATAATCTCTAATATAAAATATGAATAAAAAATTTAAAAGATAAAAAATTAATAAAAATGAATATTGTTAGATTTCTTTCCTATTAAATAATATTATTTTCTAAAATGGATATAATCGTACTGTGCGTCTGCTAAGAAAGATCAGCATGATCATCCCCCCTACAACAGTGGCCAAAATGGTAGCCTGGGGCGCAGTTTGGTTGTCCTAAACCTCGTTTAGGACATCTGTTTCTACTCATTGCACCAATTGGTTAAAAATAAAAGATCAAACTTTCTACATAATTTGGATCTCGTGGAGTAATTCATCGTCAATAAAGTTGGTCGACCCTAACTTTATGGGTCGTACCTAGTATCAAGTATCATAGAATGACTTGAAGATGGCACCATCAACTACTTCTGCAAGTAAAGCTAAGCCTAGTATCAAGTATCATAGAATGACTTGAAGATGTCACCATCAACTAACTTTATGTGTTTCGATAGAGTTGAGATTAGATGAGATGAATGTTCAAAGATTGCTTCGTGTAATGGATGTTTGTTATGTGTGTATGCATCGAGGAAGGGGGGCCTCTACTTGTGCCATGACACATAGCTAGTGTGTGGGTGTCTAGCTAGACATCAGTTTCATTTTTCAATTCTAAGCTCCTATGGAAGGAACTAAAGTGTGGGGTGGCCAATTGGTCTTCTCCTAGTGACACTCTCTTCAAGTGTGCATCACGATGATACATGACAGTCAAGGTGCAAAATGCAAAGCGAGCATTGGCCTCCTAACTAGCGTCTAACCCGATTAAGCGTTGCCTATGCGGGGTAAGGCATTGGAAGTAAAAAATGAATAATTATAAGATTACAACTTCATAAATGTAGAAAATATAAACACTAAACACCAAACAAAGTAAAACCCAATATATCATGTGTGTCCTGTGCACTTGCTGGGTGGTATTGAACTTCATCTCAGGTGGCTTGAAAGGGTAGTTGTTGAGGAAAGCTAAATATATCTTGTACTCAATTTCTTCAAATACTGTATCTTGCTCCTAGTTATTGTCCCTCTCCTGCAAAAGATGGTATCCTCCTCTGAAAACTCTAATATCCCTATTTCTTCACTCATATGTTGAAAATAAGATCTCTTAAATTAGCCAACGGAAACCAATCAAATCAATCAATTAACAATAGCAAACTCGTTTAGGAGATTTCTCCTCTCACCATTAAGGTCCTCAACTCTGACCGCAACCTGCTTGGCATTTGAAAAATCCAAGAAATAGAAAACCAAAGATGAGACACAGAGATGAGATCGATAAACAAATTGGCCAAGAACGTTTACTATACGAGTCGGACATTCCCAGCCTCCCTTTCTCCTTGGAGAATTGCTGGTTGGAGGGTACCACATTCCCATACTATAATAGAGGAATTATAGAGCTAGCCGTCAATTGATGTAGAGGTCACTAGCATGAAGAAGAATCGCTACAACACAGCATCTCGCCTTCGCAAGATACAGTCATACAACACACCATCAGGACATCGCTATAACACATAAAAAAGAGAGATCAAAAGAGATCAAAGCAATATTGAAAAGTTCTTTTACCCTTTTTCATGTGTTTCTAGGTTCGTCTCAGATCTTCAATTGAGCAAGTGGATAGCTAATAGGTCCTCCATAAATGAAAATGGTGGCACCATCTACAAGGTCCGCCACCGACGCACCTCTGAGAACCATGCCCTCGAACAGAGTTGTTGCTCAAACTAAGGAAGAAGGGGTAAGGAAAAGAGAGAGACCACAAAACAATCCTCCCTTCTAACCCTGAAATTTGAGAACAATGATAGAGAAGAGAGATGTTGCATATTTGATTCGATTAAATCCTCCATGAAATAGCTCAACGCCTCAACATCCTAGGCATTGATTAATCACGCCTTAGATAGCCTTCCTCCACCTAATCTCCACCTTCCTCTGCCTAATCACTTCAGTCACTTAGTTCTCCACCATTCCCCAAAGAGAGGCGATATGTAGTCGCGGAGTGCCTAATCACTAGTAAGCATACGCTTTTTTCTACTTTCTTGAAGCCTGATGATAGGTGCTTTGGTAAGCCCTAGGCAATCGCTCTTCTTCTTTAGGGCGTGAGGGTGTAAGTGGAACCATATACGCATTCATACATTTTTCTCATGACCATTCATTGTGTATTTCCTCACTTGTGTTACAATATAGACTCTCAACAATTTGGACATGTAAGTGGCATGTCGCCTAGCATTGGATTGTCTTAAGTGAGCTAATTAGGTGAACCTCTTAGGTATTTCCATAGGTGAGGAGATGACAAACTTGTTGTCTCCATTTTACACTTTTCATTTGTTCGTGGAGCCAATCATCAAACGAACTAGCCGAGTTGCATGGATTTAAAAAAAATGGTAACTTTTTCTACTTTTCTCTCTACTCCTTGCTTGACCCACTGAGGACATTGTCCTATTTAAAGTGTGGTGTGAGATTTAGGTAGATTATTCTTCATTCTATAGACCTTGAGTTTGTGAATGTTCATATGTTATGTGGAAAGGATTTTGTGTGTGCATGTGCGCATTTATTTCAAAATTTTGAGTAATGACACACCCTGAAAGCAAATTCGAAGTTTATCAAACTTTGAATTGCTAGTCTCTTTGTTGATGTGATTTAGAGAGTCTAGTGTATGGGCTATGAAAGATGTCAATTTCATGAGACTTGGATCCATCTTAAGAAGTACGGATTGGTGCTTCCTGCCATCATTTTTTAGTTCACAAAATCCTCAAAGGAAGGAGTCTTCTGCGCATAAAGCTAAAAAGGGGTCGATATGTAGCTTTATACATTCAAAATCCTACCACGACAAGCCTAGCTTACAAGATGTTGCCGCTGCAAATGAAGTTTTTTAGGTAAAGTGTGAAGCATCCTAACCTTGCAAAAAAAGGGTTTTGGAAGAGAAAATTTCAGTGGGATAATCCTACGGGATTTTGCTAGTTTCTCTCTAGTTCATGGAAAATTGTCACTCGTATGATGAGATTGCAAACTTGGGATGTGTATTCAAGGACACGAAAAAATCTTTCGACACCCCTAGACTTCACTGACCCTCCATACGATCAAGGAAAAGGAGATAAAACTCCTCTTTCTTGATTAAGGCTTGTTAAGTACCATAGTACAAAGATAAATAGACCCACCAGAGCATAGAGAGCACAATGTGTGCAAAAAGGCTAGGCAAGCTCGTCTTCATACGAAGATTATTCAAAAGACATTATGTGGACAGAGATATGAATACTTCCTAATCAAGATACATAAACTTCACCTCAATCTTTTTATAAAATGACTCGAGTAAGAGAAATTACTCCATCTCGTGAGGGACGAATAATTTCATTCTTACGAAATTCGTTTCGAGCATCAATGCAAGGATCAAAAGTTTCTAAGTGCAAGGGATTACCTTGTAAGCTTCTTATGATCCACTACCTAAGATCAAAATACATGTCATCGTAGAGGTCTAGTGTAGGAATAAATAATTTGTCGCTTACTGCGCCGCTTTCATTGCCTTGGTTAGCCAAAACTAAAAATGTCGGGACTATGGAGAAGGGTCCCTCGGGCCATGCACCTGCTTCAAAGCCAATGTGATGCTGCTTTGTCAGATGACAAATATATTGGCGATAGTGATGGCAATGGGGTGGGACGGGGTGGGTAACTCAATACCCATGCCTTCTCCCATGCTACTTTGGGTGAGGGCAACTAAAACCCGCACCGGTACAGGGCGGGAGGGGTTGACCCACTCTTACATGTTATTGGAAAAAAAAATACACGCAAATTTTTACTTTTTACGATAAAACAAATGGGGAAACACTTTATGAATGAAAAATAGTGCTAATAAAATGGCTAGTTAAGTCTAACAAGTTGAAAGAATTACTGTAAATAGTTGAAGAAAAGGCAAAATAGGAGAAATATGTATAGATACTGTAAGAAATTGAGATACAATGGGCCAAGAACGGGGCGGGCTAGGGCTAGGCCGAGAGTGAGGTTATTTGATGACACTAGGGCTGGCTATTTGGTCCGGTGTTTTTGGTTTTACTCGAAACCGGACCGTATAACCCGGATCGAGACCGGACCGGGACCGAATAGTAAACAATCCAATCCAATATTTGGGCATAGATTTGAGGTAAAAACAATTTGGGAACGAATCGAAAAGTAGATAAAGACTGGATAACAGAGCTCAACACCCAAAACTTTAAGGGTAATTTGCATAAACAGTCACAAACCTTTGCACTTAGTACAAAACTTAACCAACTCCTCACCTTTTCAGGCCTTAGGCCACTCAAATCCCCACAAGCTCAATATAAAATCAAGACCGAGTTGGGACTGGACCGTGTCAAGACTGGACCGGATCAAGACCGGACTGTATCCAATCAAATCTTTGGTCCTTTAATTTTCAAAAAGACCGGATTGGACCGGATCAATTTGGGCCAATTTAACCGGACCGGACCATATAGCCACCCCTACATAACACATAGAATTGACTATTCTAGACCTCCGTATTATGATCCAAAGTGCATTCATTTGATATAATTATCATAATAATAAATTGAATTCATGCTACAATACTTCAAGTGTGTTTTAGGGACCCTAGGATTGCTTTTACTGGTTTGATACGCTTTTGGTAGCGTTTTGTGCATTTTCAAGTCAGAGCAGGCTAGTGAACCACTTGGTAGCCGAAGGGGACATTGAAATCCAGTTGCTAGAGCCGAGACTCAAAGAGAATATGGGCTTATTGAAATGGCGCCCAAAATGGCGGCCCATGATCAGAATTGGTGCCACGACCATCGTTTGATGTGACACATCTACTTTGTCATAAAGTTAGCTGTGACCTTACTGATTGTTGGCCACAATTTTGGAGCTTTCTAATTGGACGATTGATGCAATAGCTATGGTTTTCTCTCCACGGAAAGTCTAATCAAAATTCTATAAATAGGCCTTTAGAGATAGAAATCAGGAGGAAGGGAACAGAGGTCAAGGAAGGGTTGTCACTCTGCCGACAAAGCGACTCACCGGACCTAGAGAAAAACCAACCCAGAGGAAGAAGTCGACGCTAGAATGGCCACTATGTCCTCAATTTTTATGTTGTGGTTGCTGATTCTAGTGGCTCTTTGAGGATGTTGTTTTGATCGATGATCGCCCACGAACCACTCCCCATGGCTGGTTAGTTCCTTTAGTTGCGTAGGTATGTCATATGTGAACCTAGGGGTTTTGGTTATGTAAACTCGATGAATCGGATTTAAATAAGATTGTTTGATCTTAAATTTGTGATGTTTGATTCCCTCTATTTCATCTTTTGTGGATTCGAATGAGAGCCTAGTCGACCTTCCACTCCTTCCACGTGCAGGATCAAAATCCAAGTCGCTTAGGATTAGACCAGACATGGTGGTTATATTCGATTGAACGGCGTGGAGCCTTAAGGGATAAATCCGAAGGGTTCTTGTCGCCCATTAGTCCGATAACTGCTTCGGCACAAGGTGGGATCAGATGATCTGAGAAATCAAAAACTCGTATACTGCCGATGATTGAGGGATCATAACCCGCAGACCTAGGGGGAGCTTGCCTATACCACGAATGTCCTTCTATGCTCTCTTGCTCATCCAAATGTAGTTATAGATTTTCTTTTCTACATGTTTCCTTTTTTTCGTCTTTCGTTTTGCAAAATCGGAGGCACCTCACTACAACCGAGATCAAACAGTCCCATAACTGAGCCGAAACAAAAGCCACTATCAATCTAGATTTAGTGTTCCTTTTCAAAAACGGTGATCTGAAGGTAAGTGGGTTAAAGAATGAAACACACAAGTCAGGCTTGGCACCACCAACATATGAGAATCCATTCTTATTGAGCCTCTTTGATTCAAGGATTAGAATTGCTTTGGCAGGCTTCGGCGTCGGATATTCGCTAGGGTTTTGTGCGCTCTTTGCGGGCCCTATGGTTTGTTCCCTTGGTGATTGTGCTCCTTTGTTGAGTCTCAATAAGAATGGATTCTCATATGTTGGATACAGTCTCTATTAAGTTTGATGGAAATAATTTTCCATTAAGGGAGTTTCACTTCAGAAACTTTGTGGAAGGGAAGCGGTTGTCTTTGGTTTTGACCGCTGATTTTAGCAACCCACTGTAGATGTTGATGAAAATGAGAATGGTGACTAGGCACCGTCCAATGCTCAAGTCGTCAGTTGGCTGTTGGTGTCTGTCGACATCCAAATAGCGTTTAGTCTTCATAATTTCCCCAATGCTCGTGAGATGTGGAAATATATTTGTGGTACGTACGCTCAGACTGATCCTTTTCGTCTCTATGAACACAAGTTGGACCTCGCAGGATTATCTCAAGGAGATCATCATGTGCATAGTTACTATAAACACGCTCTTCATCTTTGGATCGAATATGATCTGGTGAATGCTTCCTTGTTGTCTGGTGATGCCTCGGTTGAAGTTCAGAAGCAGCGCTCGAGGACTCAAGTCATGCAATTCCTCATGGAGTTGTGGGCTGACTTCAAGCCAATTCGTGCTTCCTTAATTCATTGAGGTATTTCCGATCTTGATATTGGAATTGCTGAGCTGATTCATGAGGAGACACGGCTAACAGTTAGTCACATATTGATAATCAGACTTCAGACTCTACTTCTGTTGTTGGTCGATCTAGTGCCTCGCATAGACCTCAGTTTGGGACTCCGTCTAGTGGAGAGTTAATATGTCATCACTGTAAAGAACCTGTGCATGTTCAAATCCAATGTTATAAACAAATTATTGCAAGAAGGCGGACCATAGTGTCCGGGAGTGTCCCACGTTGAGTAAGCGTGGGAAAATTTGCTTTCCTACACATGGGTCTTTGGATGGTGGATCGTCATCAACTAGCCTCCCTTCGTATAGGACTCATGGTGGTGCATTTTCTGTGTCTGGGACATATGTCGTTTCTCCTTGTTTTCCCAGTTTTGGCGGTGGCAGCTCAACACTCTCTCCTAACTTTGTTTGAAAGTTGGTTTAGGATGCCCTGCCGCAGTTATTGACGTCGACTTTTGCTACTGGTGTTATCTCTATTTCGAATTTACATCTGTGGGTAGCCAATGGGGATTAGGTAGCTGTCGTCGGCCAAGGTACTTTATCTACATGATCGGTTACACTTCTGGGAACTTTATATGTTCCAAGTTTACAGCCCGATCTTGTATCCATCGAGGAGTTGACTGAGAACGGTTGTGATTTTAAGTTTAATTCGGCCGATTGTGTGGTATAGGACCAGAGGACGAGGATGGTGATCGAGATAGGAAGTAAGCAAGTTCGTGTCTATGTCATACACGAGCTAGGCCGTCTCCCAAGGAATCATGGGGATTCTCGAGGGACTCTCACCGCTGGCTCGGCTGTGCAAGACACAACGTTCGACAATTCTTTATTTGGTCTATGTTTGAAAATTTTGTTAATTCTGTTGGTTTAAAATTGTCCAAAAATAAATCGATTTGGGATTTATGGTACTGTCGGTTGGGTCATTTTCATTCTACAAGATTGTTCACAATGTTTTGTCAGAATTACTTGCCTAAGAAGTTTGATTAGCCATTTGGATCTCATTTTAATTGTGTTATTTGTATCGAAGCTAAGGCTTCTAAGAATTATTTTTCCACTAGCGATACGGTCTATGCTAAGCCTTTTATTCTTGTTCATACAAACTTGTGGGGCCCTTCACCGCTCACATCGCGTTTGGGTTTCAAATACTTCTCCTTTTTTATTGATCATAAAACGTGGTATGCTTCGGTGTTCTTAAGCGGAATTCTGAACTGTGTTCTGTTGCTAAGGAGTTTGTGTAGCTCATCAAAACACAGTTTGACTAGACAATTAATGTTCTTCGCTCGGATGAGGGCGGGGAGTTCACGAACATGAATTACTAGACTTCTACAAATCCGAGCGAATTATTTCTCAACTCTCTTATCTGGGTGCCTCGAAACAAAATAGTTTAGTGGAGCAAAAACACAAGCATGTTCTGGAATTAGCAAGAGCATTGTTGTTTAACTAACATGTTCCTAGTGGATATTGTGTAGAACTGTAGAAGTTGTTCATACGATTGTTTATTTCATCAATCGTCCGATCACACTTGTCCCGGATCAGTGCTCCCCTTATTAGGTCTTGTACTCGAATTCTCCTAATTATTCATTTTGTGAGTCTTTGGTTGTATGTGATTTGTTATTCTGCCATGCAAAGACCGCCATATGCTCGCCCCCAAGACCGTAAAATGTGTGTTTCTTGCCTACAATGATAGACATGTATGTACTATTCTCCTTCATATGCTATTATTTAGCAGCCGCCAATGCTAGTATTTCTATGATTCGTTTGGGAAATGAATTCTCAATGCATACCATGTTCTCTTCCTCAAGGACAATATGTACGATTCTCCTTCCTATGCTGCGCAAGACCCTTCCTCGTCTTATTCAGATGATCTTGATTGGTTAACTTCTTTACCGGGCTTTGGTACTCCTCAGATCACTGCGTTGGGAACCAAGGGAGGGACAAAATTTATTTCGAGTGCCAGCTCATCCTCTTTGCCGCCTAGCACTAGTTTTCATAGCTTGACTTTAAGGAGGGACAGTTCCTTGTTGCCAAGCTCAAAATCTAGTTCGAGTTTGCCGTAGGGTGATCCGGGAAGTTCAACATCGTTTGGAGATAGTAGTAATTCATTACACGAAGCACAAGATGAGCAAGAGATTTCACCGCAGCAGCCCAGCCGATTAAACTGAGCGAATATGGGACAACCTCCCATTCGGTTACTTGACTATTAAGGGTATGCTAGAGAAGCATGTTTTACCCCAACAACGTATGAGCAGGCTTGTGGCGATTCAAAATGGGAGTATGCGATGCCGGGTATGTCAGTTATTGGATGTAGATGGATATGTACAGTAAGATGAACCCCAATGGGACAATAGAAAGATTTAAAGCACAGTTAGTAGCCTGCGGTTTTCTTCAATAATATTGTACTGATTATGATGAAACGTTTGCATCAGTTGCAAAAATGCAAACGGTTCATTGTATATATTTTGTCGAAGCTATCAAAGGTTGGCATCTTCTACAGTTAGACGTAACGAATTCCTTTCTGCATGGAGGTTAGGAGACTATCTACATGGAGAGACCACATGGTTACACTAAAGGATCTTCGGATGTGGTTTGTCAACTGGTTCAACATTTATATAGTCTCAAGCAAGCTCCACGAGCTTGGTTTGAACAAAGTCAGAATGATCCATCTCTCTTTATATGGAATACGAGAGAAGTTGCGGTGTTCTTCCTAATCTATGTAGATGATATGATCATCTCCGAAAGTGATTTGGCCGAAATACATGAATTAAAAGCCTCTCTACATAAAGCATTTAATTTAAAGGATCTTGGTGACGTTTCATACTTTCTAGGATTGGAGGTTCAAAGTTCGACGCGAAGTATCTTTGTCTCCGAGAAGAAATGCTGACCTTCTTGAGAGGGCATAGTATACAGACTGTAAACCTTGCTCTACTCTAATGGAACAAAATTTAAAGCTAAGGAAGGACAGTGGGGATTCAATACAAGACCAGTCATTGTATCGTAGTCTTTTCGGAAGTTTTGTATATCTGGTTCATACTCGTTCAGATATTGCCTATCATGTACAAGTTGTGAGTCAGTATCTGGGTGTAGCACGAGCACAACATTTGGATGCAGTCCACAGGATTCTTCGATATCTCAAGCATACTCAAGATGTTGGAATTTTCTTTCTAATCAGAAAAGAGACAGTTTTGGAGATCTTTGCATACGCAGATTATGTTGGTTTTCAAAATACCAAGTGCTAGACTTTAGGATGGTGCATACGCATCGGAAAGTCCTTTATCTCATGGAGATGTAAGAAGCAAGAACGAGTTTGGAAATCATCTACCGAAGCTGAGTATCGGTCCATGTCTGAGGTAAGCTCAGAGATGATCTGGTTACAACGTTTGCTAGGAGAATAGAGTGTTGATTGTCCCATACCCATGAAACTATGTGGTGACAATGCTAGTGCGATACAGATATCACTAAATACAGTACTACACAACAGGACGACGCATATAAAGGTTCAGATACATTACATTAGGTAGCTGGTTGTAGAAGAAAGAATTCATTTGAGTCATTTATCCACTGATTGTCAAATGGCAGAGCTTATTGGCTAAGGCTTTAGCATCCAACATGCATTTGTACTTATCACCTAAATTGATGTTACGTACCCAACTTTAATTTGAGGGATGGTGTTGAAAATATTAGTACCATTAGGTAATTTTACACATAAGTGAGATGAATCTAAACTTAATATATGCCATTCACTGGATTATCATCTTGTCAGATTATCAAAGGTTTGTAGAAATACCTGGATCATGTTGTTGATCATCAAGAGCTTGATACGGAATCTGGAAAATGATCTTGAACTGGACGATACTAATAGAGCACAATCTAGGAGGTTTCATGACATTTCTCAAGCAAGGCTCTTTAGTTCCTCTATAGGAGAGCTCTCACCTTCTTGATGTGGAGAAGAAGAGAATGTTTTGATCTTGGAGTATTGGGGACCACAATCTCAAGGTTCCCTATATACTCACCACCATGGGCTCCCATAAAACCATAGGTGTAAGTATTGAGTTTCCACAAATTTAGGTCCATATCACGTACAAGATATATTTGGGCTCCTAATTTGGATCACTTACAATTAGCCCACTTAATCAAATAGCTATATCCTTATATAAAAGCCATGGTTCTACCTTTTACTATTCATTAAGAGCTTTTATGGTAAATAACATCAACTCTAAGGTCATTAGTTATAATATAATGTACATGTGGGCCCTTTCAAATCTCTTTTTATTTTCATTTGCAATATCCACTTTTATTTATATCTCTTTTCCTTTTCTTTTATTTTTATCTCTCAAGAATTTTGACGAAACGAACTTCTTAGTCCATATTTGATTTTTGCCGCCTTATTTATCTCTTTTTCTATCGAGTTCGAATACGAAGACAACTGAAAATTTTATTTATCTCCATTAAAAGAACATAAGTGTCATCTGAACCAACGACACAAGATGATACGTTCCTTCATTATAGTTTGGCAAAATACACTTTCATAGCCATAACTTTCGCGTTTGTGACAATAATAGCCATTTTTGGAGAAATACCAGATATAGATACATTTTTAAAACTTGTTGGACTAATTTAGCCATTTTCGTCAAATACTTTAACACCGTCAACTATTCCGTCAGTTAAATGAACGTTAAGCTTATTAGCTGCCACCTAGACGACACATCATGTCTCCCATGCCACATGGCAGCCACATCACATTTTAAATAAAAGAATATCTTATATATGTCAAATCCGATTTTTAAAGATATCTTCTTCTCACGACAAGAACCTGGCTACTTGCGACGTCCTCTGCTTTGTCGTCGCCGTCAATTCATCACAATACCCAGAACCCCGGCGAGGAAGTCCAGTCTTCCGCCTCTCTTTTCCAAAATCCCCTTGTTTCTCACCATCGTCGTAGTCAAAAAGACAAGTGGCCCCACAGCCAATAGTCCTTTCCACTTCCTCCACCGGACATGCCCCCCAATGCCCCTCCACATAACAAAGTTCCTGCCGACTATGGTGTCTGCACTACAATCTCGCCGCATCGAAATCCTCGGAAGAGTTCTTCATCTTGAAAAGTAGATCTAGACGGCACAGCGGAAGGGGTGGGCGGCAACAATGATTGAAGAGGATTAGAATTAGGGATTGAATAAGAGGATTGGCCACAACGATTTGGACCCAACACAAACGTGAAAGTTATGACTATGGAAGTGTATCTTGCCTTTTGGTTTTTTGTGACCTCAATAACTTCATTGTTTGTATTTAGTTTTGCTCTCTTATTTATCTCTTTAGCAATTTGGTAGATCTCGAGGACACCTGCAAGGTGGGGGAATGGATCGCGATAGTAGTATTCATCGAAGAACAAGAGAATCCCAGTAATAAAGTCTCAACAATTAAAATGGGAGCTAGACCTGCAGTTTTTTGAATTTGTGTTCCTTACGTAATAGTTTATTTCCTCTTACAATTACATACAACCTTTCACATTGCTCGCTTGACGCGAAACGCAGTGAGCGGACTTTTCTAGTAATTGTTAAAATACGTGTCCCATACCATTATTAGGAAATGTGATTTCCTAACAATAAGTCCTTAGTCTTTATTTATTTTATTGTTTTTATAAGAAGTCCTTAGTCTATAGGGTTTAGCCAAACTCTATAAATATTTTTGCAACTCGTGTATAGTGGGTAACAAGATATTAAGATTGACTTGGAGAGCTCTGATTCTCCCGTGTACTAGTTCTGTCGATCAGGGAAACCATATTAAATTTGGTGTTCTTGTTCTTTGCTTTCATTTTAACACTAGACATTCTGCCGTATCTTCTCTCTTCCGGGGAAAGAAGACCGAGAGAGGAAATCCCAGAGACAGAAACTACAGAAGCTATACTCTTCAGTACAATTCAATTGACATGGACTATAAAGATAAATGGTTGTCTAGGCTATCAAGGAATTACAAGTATATATGAAGCAGCTACCAGGTATCAGGATGAATCTCCAGGACCCAGGTCCCATAACTCTGCCTCCAGTTCTTGATCGCTTACAGACCCATAAACTAACCTTTGCAGCCTTTCCGACGCTTTTGCTCCTTCAAAGCTGAAACAAGATTCCTCTATCTACACCCAATAGGGGGGAAAAACAAAGAATGAGGCCGATAATTAGCCATCAGAATCCCAAAGTATGTGTAACCGACTAGGCCGCACTTGGGAAGTAAGTACCTTTGCATGAACAGTAGAGAAGAAAGTGGAATTCCCAGTTACAGCGAAGCTAGCATTCAGAACTTCAAGGCCTTCATCCTCGAGAATTCGGATCACATCCTGAAACAGCACCATGGACTCATCACGACCCGACCCACTAGTCAAAACCACCTCCACAACAGAACCCACTTGCCGGATCTGCAATTCCGGCGCCGCCGACCATCTCCTCGCCCCCTTTGACTTCGGTCCATCACTACAATATATACCGCTACTACATTTCCGCAGTCTCTTTCTGCTCGTCGCCAGACTTTCTTTCTTCTCCTCCAATTTCTTCAGCTTCGATTCCATGCTCTTTATGTAGCTTATTGCCACGTCTATCCGGTCAGCAACTCCTGATCCCGGCGACGGCGAGGATGAGATTCCCACAGCAGCTGATCCCTGCAGAAAATTTACTTTCCATCGTCTTAACCGGATTATCTAAACATATTAAGTTAACTAACCCTTATAATTGTTTAATTGGATTAAAATGGGAACCTGATTGGAGCAAGAAGTGGGGAGGAGAGAGTAGAGGCGGGAGTACATAGTCTTCATATGGTTCCGTCTATTTTTCTCCACAACTTTCCTCTCGAGCTTCATGGAGCAAGAAGTCGAAGAAGCAGGACGATTCTGATCCACTTGAGCAAAATTTAGCAGTGTCATATTGTTTGTTTTGTTCCTTTTCTTGGTCTTCTCCCACTCAATTGGAGTCTCTGGTTATCTATATAGCATTGTTACATGCATCATCTGAACACCGTACAGCCGACAGGCAGAGCCACGGTCAGCCCGCCGATTTGGAATATACAGAAAAGAAGGAAGGGGGGAAGAACCCGGTAAAGCATAATCAGAGCTTCTTTTTCCGCTCAGGTTTCGTCTCTCTGTTTCCTTGAAAGTGAGAGTGTATTTGTGTTTCCAATTTTCACACATGATGAAAATAGAATTTTTGTTTAGTATTATTTTGTCGAGTTGGGTTATTGCAGTTCTTGCATCTTGGCAAGTCCGGAGCGGGTTTCTTGATACCAATACCCGTTTCGTGGCAGGTCGGGTCGAGGTCATGTAATTTATCATTGTGTGTGGGTTGGGGCAGGTGGACATAGTGAATATGCATTTTGTATAAAAATATTAAAAAAATTAATTATTCCATATAAGACCAAGAAACAAACCATAATATGATAAATGTAGTTAAATTATTGGAGAAATTGAGACTTTCACTAATTTATAACTTTATTTTAGCTAAAATATGATGCAAGAAAAGGAAAATATTAAGTAAATTGAGTAAGATTACATTTAATTTAGACAAGAACGGGTCGAGAATGCGACGGGTCAGGACAGGTCGAGTCGATGAATGTACCCATGTTCGCCCTACCTCGCAGGTCGGGTAAAACGGGTCAGGTCGAAATTGTCGTTCCTACTTGTATCATACTCGGATTCACGGGTCGGGGGCTAGCTAGCTTGCCAAGGTTGTTAACCCACGGGTCAATTCTCGGGTTAGTCCGTATTAACCCATAACCATGAAAAAATGGGTGCAACACACCTGCAGGTCGACCCGCCACAAGGTTTCTTGATCGGAGGTCACACAGTATTGTTTTTCCTTTTGGTTTGCGAATTCCACCTCTTTTTGGGGTTTTCCCTTCGTCTAACCCTACTTTTTGAATATTTAGTTGAACATTTGAATATTGATGTTATATGAGTGTGTTGAATTTTCACTATATCTTGAATCCAAGTACGAACTGTTATTTTTGTGTAATGTTATACGTTATATGAGATTAGATTTTATTGAATTTATAAATGTCTAAATACTAAAATGAATTTTTCATATATCATAGTTAAACTGGGCCATTAACCCTCAATTCACCTGCTCATCCGAATCAACAAGCTAAACAAGGTCGACAACCTCACAACCCTACAACTCACACTTTCACAAAATCAATTTTGTTTATAGTTTTTAAAAGAATTAACTACATGTTTGGTCAATCAGTTTATAAATATGTTTCATGTTTGCCACTGAAAAAATTTCGGTTCTTATTCATAATTGATTTTTCACTTTATTTCATCTTTAGTCACCAACCGTCCAATTCCTTTAAGTCTGTCCTACATGGTCATCAGCTGTGATGTTTGATTGTTAAATAGCTGAGCTGTCCATTAAAAAACAAATATTTTTCATTTTCATGCCAGACAAAAAATCTAATAAATATTTATTTTCATAAAAAAATATTTAATATAAATATTATTAAAAATTATAAATGCGTTTGTTTTACTATTTTGTACCTGGTTTGTAACCTTTTTTATTTTTTAGTTTGAACTAGGTTAGTCCATCTAGAGCAGGGGTGGCCACTAGTGATGGCAATGGGTCAGGGCGGGACTGGTACCTCAATATCCATGCCCCGTCCCACGCTACTATGTGTCGGGTAATACTTGTAGGTACGGAGCGGGAAGGCTCGACCCACTCTTACATGCTATATGAAAAAATACACGCAAAATTTTACTTTTTATGATAAAACGAAGGGGAAAATACTTCATGAATGAATAATAGTGATAATATAATGGGTAATTGAGTCTATCTAGTTGAAAGATCAAGTCTAACTAATTAAAGGAAAGCAAAAAATAGGAGATATATTAATGGATGGACTACGGGAAAAACGGCCTCTTGCAACTCCCACAAATGTGTTGCGTTATGTATTAAAAGAGTTGCGAAAACCTATCGCAACACTTTTGGTAGGGTTTCATATAGTGGGGGTTTCAAAAAGAATAGGCAACTGTTTTTCCATTTTTCGCAGCCCAAATATAAAGGGTTGCGTATCCTTACCTCTTACGCAACACCACTTTAGGCAACACGTTTCACAAGTTTTGCAACACATTTTTGTAAAATGGGCAACGGTATTTTTAACTTTTAGCAACAGTAAAATTTGTGTATGTGACGAGTTTAAATCGTCACGAATAACTAACTCAGTTGTAAAAACATTGTTCGTAAATAAAAAAAGAACTTGCGTGACAATATTATCGTCAATAAAACTTCTTTTTGTGACGAGGTAGTCCAGTCACGAAAACTATCATTGTGACATGTCTAATTGTCATGGATAGATACATGTGTGACCATAATTATGTCACAAATACACATTGTGAAATTCCTCGTAAGATTTAGGGTCGAGTCGGTTGTCGCTAAAGTAACTATTTGTGACTAAGTTTACTGTCACGTATGTCCCCTATGTGTGACGAATTTCAATTGTCACTCACAATATACTTTTGTGATTATCTAACTTTCACAAAATCATCATTTTGTGACAATTTTTGTTATCATGAAAACACCGTACGTACCACAAAATGACGTCAATTGTGACCGATATTTTGTTGCAAAAGGATATATTTGGTGACAACTTTACTAATCACTCAAAGCATCATTAGTGATAAATTGACAGCACGAACTTCGCAAATCCCTTTCATTGGTGACCAACCTTTCATCGCAAAAGGTTAGCGTTTGTGACAACTTTGCTAGTCACTAATAAAGCAATGGTGAAGCATCACTGAGTTATCACGAATGTATTTCTATTTTGACAATAAAATTATCTTTTCAGCCTTCTTTTGTGACAAGAGATGATGACACGGGTATGCCCCAAAAATAACGATAATGTATGTCCTACATGAGTGCATTTTGTGACAAGATTTAAGGACACATATTGCTACAACACTCTATTCAGTGAGAAGATGCGTCGTCACTTCTATTAATTGCGAGAACATGTTTCGTCACAAATTTAATGGTTTGACGACTGATAGACCATTGATTGCACATGTTTTTACCCCTATTCTTGAGCCGTTTAAGATGTTGATTCTCGTGTTTTAAGCCAATTTCACGCTAGGTTGTGCGTTTATGTCATATTTCAGGGCTTGGCGTTGGCATCGAGGCGAAGAAACGAGTTTCGGGTCAAAAGGAGCACGTTTGAGTTGAAGTGTGCCGGAGGAGCAAAATACCCGACCATGAGCAAAAATACCCCCGCCAGGGATTAATCTGAGCAGACCGGGGAAAATCACTTTTGGGCGTTTGAGAAGCAGAAGGGGCCCGGGCACTGAGCATAAATCCCCGGTCGGGTATTCTTGACCTTGACCGGGGATTAATCCCCTGTCCTCGACGGAGTGTTTCAACAATCCCCGGTCGCCACCCGAAATACCCGACCGGGTATTCTGACCGGGGATCGCAAATGCAGGCTGTTAAAAGCCTGTTTTGTGCGTTTTTGCAAGCGGGAGCTAGGTTTTGGATCCCAAACACCCAAGGGACGAACCAAAGAGAGAGAGAGAGGAAGATTTGAGGACATTTTTGGAGTGGAATTGGAGGATTTCTTCGCCTTGAAAGCTCGAGGAACAAGCCCGGACTTGAAGACTGATCATCTGAAGATTCTTACAGCAGTTTCTCTATTCTCTATGGAGTAACTTCCCTTCACTTAGGTTTTGAGGAACCCTAGCTATGTTTGCTTGATTGGATGATTGTATGAGTACTCCTACTTGATAATCTTGAGTTCATATTCAATCTATGCACGTTTTCATGATTCAGTTCTGCTTTAGTCGAGATTATTGATTCAGCTTTGATCCTATGAGAGCGAATACCTGATTAGGTCAATAGAGCACCATAGATTAATAGTATTGGATCGATTGCTTTAGTCGAGGGTCGATTCACTGCTTTGTATCGATTGAGAACCTCATTCGATAGAGGGGGTCTAGTTCAGAACACCTTGATCGGTTGTTCTAGAGAAGGATACGTCCCTCTAGGCAATCGACTCAAGAGGGCCTTGATCCTTTAGTCGAGATTCAAGGTCTAGGCAAGGATTCTCCGCATTGTGAATGAAAGTGAAACAAGTTAGAAATCATCAATCATTAATATGGCTAGTGTCTAGGGGGAATCATACCCAAGTGAGTTCCCAACCTGTAATTAGATTAACTTTAACTGTAGTTTGTTATAGTAGTTTTAGTTCTTCCATCTTAATCTGGTTTGCTAGATAATGAACTGAAGCTGAGTAATAGTAACTCTAGAGACCCGTGGATTCGATATTTATTACTTGAGCCACTATACTGCAGTCCCTTCCATTGGTTACAATTGGCCTTTGTTAGGAGTTGTGTCATAGCGAGTCAAGTTTTTGGCGCCGTTGCCGGGGACTTTCTAGATTATTAGGAAAGGCATAAGTTTGTTATTCTAGCGTTTTTCTTTTCTTTTCCACCCTTGCTTTTCACTTGGGTGTTTGTGTTTTTGTTGGTGCATATCTGAGTCATGGATCCTCATGGCTTCTCCAACCATTGGGGGTATCCACCACTATCCGAGTGGTATTACCCCGAGACTCCCTAGAGCAATCAAGGGGGAGAAGACTTTGGATTCAGGTTCCAGTACCAACCCCCTTACTACGGAGAACAATCAGACCCCTGGGAATATCAAGAACAACCTCATTACCAAGAAGAATTTCTCCCACAACCAGAAGGGCCATCGGAGCTGGAGTTACCCATGGCGGCATCCACGGGCCATTCTGCAGAGCCATGCTACACTCCACAACCAGATCCAAACTATGAATTGAGGCTTCTCATGCAGCAGTTTGCTCGAGACAGTGAAAGATCATGCTCCAGGATGGATCTTTGTACCCAGGCCTATCGTGAAACAGAGGAGATCCTCCTGAGCATTAAGAGGAGCCTCGATGATCTTGAGAAATCTTATGCATAGCCTGATCAAGATCACCCTTCGGCTACTATACTAGAAGAGGAGGAGGAAGACGAAGGCTACCAAGACATTGTGGAGCACAGAGAAGTTGTCACGGAGAGCTCCAATGATGATCATGATCAGGAATGTCCTGTCGTAGCCGACCACACCTTCCCACATCCCACAATAAGCTTTGAAGAGACTGGCATGAGTGAGGAGATGCAAGAAGATCTCATCAAAGAAATTGCTTGGCGACTTGCCCTCCAATCCGTGCTGGAAGAAGAAGAAGAGCAAGAAAGGGTGCAGAAAGAAGTTGTGGAGGATGACGAAAATGAAGCAGAAGGAGTTCTTGATCCTTTCCCAGGGGTGATACCACATGAAGAAGGAAGGGAGGTTGAAGAAGCAATTGGCGTCCAGGCCGAGGACGAAGTTGAGGTTGAAGAGGCTTGCACCGGCCATGAGTTACATGTGATCTCTCCACCAAACTTCAAGGAACTGCTTAGCAAGGACCCATTTGCAGTGTCTCTTTGCCAGACCAAGGCCACATCGACATCGGTCCCTCTTGGTGGACGCGATGTTGGTCAATCGACGTTGTCATATCTGGTTTGGGGCAATGAGACAAGAGAAGAGAAGAAGAGGTCTCGAGGGTGGAGACTTCATCTGCATCAAGTGCACGAGCTTCCATCACCTTTCATACCACATGTTCGTGACTTGAGACTCCACCTCATCGACGAGAACCTCAACTTCAAAGAGGTTCTGGGGTGGACCGAAACTTAGGAGCCATCGCCCGGCTCACGACGTGAAAGAAGCGCTTGTTGGGAGGCAACACAACCAGTCGGTTTGCATTTCTTTCCCTTTTTCTCCTCGGTTGAGTCAGTTTTGTTATTTGATTTTAGAGTCAATGACTCAACCTTTGTGAGATTTTGTGTGGTGTTTGTGTTCCGACTACTCTCTCCTCCTAGAATGCACTGTCTACCCCGTCCACCATCATTCACCCTTGATCTGGTAACTTCATTCTACCCTCCTTATCTTTCCTCCATTGCGGACAATGTCGTGCTTAAGTGTGGGGGGTGATCGAT